GCAAAGCGGGCTTGGCGTGGTTGTTGGTGAGTTACGAACGATGCCGACCTTTCGAGTCCAGATCAAAGTCGTAGACTCGCAACTGCGGTGGGACGTTGTGAAGCTGGAGTTGTTTGCGAAGCCGAGCCGGGTGTTTTACAGTAGATCGCTGGTTGTCAAGACACAGATCTGCTGCTACCTGAAGATACTGGATCGAACCAGCGATGGCACATACGAATTGCGGCCACCCGATTGTCTTCTGTACTTGCCCTACCCAGATTAAGACCGGTGTCAGCGAACTGGAACATATCAAGTTGACCAAGCATCACAAGTATCTTCATGATAGGGTTGGGTGATGCCGTGGGAATACGTACGTATGCAGTTTCGACCTGACTAAGTCGCGCTTGATGGCGTCCGAGAGGTTCTCTCACCTCCCACAGCATCATCTGCACCAGTGCCAGCAGCTACGACTGGACCTGCGACGAACAAGAAGCAAACCCAAGCATCACACAGCGCGAGCAAGCTGTACAGCACCCAACTCGAGACGTACCGTACCGTTTCTAGTCGGCGGGCGTACTTGGGGCGGTTCGAAGCGCTATGCAGCAACGGCAGAACCCGGAAGCATGGCAAGCAGGTCAGAAACACTTGTGTGCACAGGGGGAGGCGAACGTGCGCGCTTGAAGGTGCCTGTGGTCGCGCCGTTGCGCGGCGGACCTCCACGCAGGGGACGATTGTGGTGAAGCGCTTGAGAAATTTGGAGAATGTGAGAATCATTGCGATACTTGTGTGACCTCCTCCTCCACCGCTCAGCCCTTTTCAATACTACTAAAGAAGAACAGTAACCAAGGGTTCCCTCCTGGTAGCACGCCGACTTCGCAGCTCTCGCAGCCGAGCTTCTACTGTACACGATCTGGCCCAATATTTGTGGGAAGCCCGATCCAGTAATCTCGTAGATTCTCCTAAAAACGCTACACCACTCAAGAGTATCTGTGTGGATTGCGTTTTTATATATTCATATATTGGTTTCAAACTGTATTTGTTGTCAAGTGTCTTTTAGTGATGTGGGCCGTAACTTCGAGAGTATCCGTAGTCGATACTAATCCTTTGTGAGAGAAAGCCACAAGAGGAAACACAAGTGACACGACAGGCCAACACTTTTTGTTTTACAAGACCCAGTGCACCCAGCAATGCGAGCGCCTTCTATCCCTCATAGCAGTATTTATGTGCGAGTGACAACAAACTGGAACCAGTGGGATCGTCTTCGAGATATAGACGATAAGCCACACAAGGGACTTCGCACCAGACAAAAT